TATGTTATGCATCAATAGCAGCAACAGCTTTCCCAGGTTCTGCAGTCATTTAAACAAAATTGTAGAGACATCCAACACTCTCCATTAAAAAAAAAAAGTAAAAAACAAAATCCCAGAAAAACAGCACAGTTCCATTATCCTTGTGGTACTTGGCACCATTTTTTTTAATTAGCTTCTCAATCATCATCTGGAAGGAAACCATTCTGAGCAACATCATTAAAAACAGCTCTGATAAAGCACAGTCACTACTATGTATCATAAAGCAGGTCCACATATGAGTCAGTACATATCATGTTTGTCTTTTTTGTGATTGGGTTACCTCACTCAGAATGGGTTCTTCGAGTTCCATCCAAAATAGCTGAGTGTGTGGCACACAGCTTTTTTTTTTTTTTTTAAGATTTATTTATTATGTATACAGTGTTCTGCCAGCATATATCCATGCAGGCCAGAAGAGGGCACCAGATCTCATTACTAGATGGTTGTGAGCCACCATGTGGTTGCAGGGATTGAAGTCAGGACCTCTGGAAGAGCCACCCATGCTCCCAATCACTGAGCTCTCTCTCCAGCCCCTGGAATCATTCTTTATGTATAACAAACATGAGATTCCATACGGGTCTGCCACTATTCTAGCACAGGGTGATGATGAAATTGTTCAGTTATTGATATGAAGTGTGATAGACACCTTATAATTTCATAAAAATATACCATGTCAATAGCAAAGGTTTAAAAATCCATGTTTCCATCACCTGGCAATAAGCCAAGGAAATCGCAAAAAAAAAAAAATGTCCTACTCATTCCTTCTTTAGTCAAACTCCTTTACCTGCAGTCAATAGCCTAGAAAGTATGCAAAGAAATGGAATTTGGCAAATGGATGTGTTTCATTTAGCAGAATTTGGAAAATTGAAATATATACCCCACACAATAGACACAATTTCAGGGATTCAATGGGCAGCTGCTTTGATCTCTGAAAGGGATGATTCTGTGATTCTACACACCTATTAGAAATAATAGCCATCCTGGGAATACCTGCACAAATTAAAACTGACAATGCTGCAGCATGTTTCTCTAGCAAGATGAAACAGGTTTTTGAATATTATAACATAATGCATATTACAGGTTAACAACACAATCCTACAGGACATGCAGTTGTTGAGAAATCTAACTGCACTTTAAATAAATGTTTTGTAAACATGAGGGGGGAGCCAAGACCCCCAAAAGTGTACTGCACTATGTCTTCTCACCTTCAATTTCCCTAATGCTAATGAGAAAGTAGAAACAGCTTTGGAGAGACATTGGACAATAGGCAAAACCAATGAAGTAAATCAGCCTAAGAACTTCAAGGACGTGTTGACCTCAGAATGGAGACAGGGATGTGTCCTGCTTTGGGGAAGGTTTTTGCTTTTGCTTCCACAGATTAAGAGAAGCTCTGGATACCATCAAAATTATTTAAGATTCAGTTTGAACAGAAGTATCTTGATATAGAGAAATGACAGTTCATCCCCCGAGGTGACTGTCTTACAAGTTGTAAGGAAACCTCACAAGGATTCTGGCAGGGTTCTGTTCTTGTCTTTGCAGGAAAATAAAAATGCCCATCTTCACAAGAAAAATAAAAATGCCCATCTTCAAGAAAAATAAAAATGCCCATCTTCAAGAAATCAAAACACTTTGAAAGAAACCTACCCAGAGAGAATCATAAGGCAAAGAAAATCTGACTTATGGTACCGATATTCTCTGCAGGGTAAAATCTCACTACCTCAACATCTCTATCTCCTTACTTCTAAGCATAGTGGTAGTCCCAACTCACTTAAAATCATAGCTGGATTTGGAGTTGGACTATCTTCTTAAAATTCAGTCATGCTGTTAAGAGACAATTTGTGATATAAGTTTCTGTCTCATATCAGAAGAGCCACCTGGCGTGGGACAGAAGAAATCCTAAAATCTAGGGACTATGCTTGTCATAACCTTGTTTCTCACCAAAATTCTACTTCTCCCCATACTTATTTTCATCGTTATCGGTTCGTTTCTTTGGATGGATATCCTTAAAAATTTAAACTCTTCCTTTTGCTATTAATGATGTTTACATTTTCCACAGTGAACAAGACATTTTCCCAACTGCAGTCTCTGAAATCTCCAGAAAAAAGATGGAGTCCAATAAAAGGATCCCACCTGATTCGTTATGTTGACTTTGAGCTGATCAACACAACTCAAGCCTGTGACAATGTTAGATTTCTGGAAATTTGAGGGATTGTGTGAGTGTTTCCCCCAAATAAATATTTTATATCTTCTTATCTGGGCTCTTGTGGAGTCCCTTACTCCCTTAGGCCAACAGTTTCTCTGATGCTAAAAGCCATTCCATTAATCAACTCTATCCAGTTTGTCTGTGAACCATTTTAAAGGTAGCACTGTTGGAGCCTTTGAAATCCCAGAAGCTGTTGTGCCTTGCTCTTACACAACCTGAATGGTGGGTTACTGTTTTTATAATACCTTCTCACATGTTCCCCAGAAACTTCGTTAATTTTTGGTTCATTTCTAAGATTGGGGGAATGTTAGTCTGAGTATTCCAGTGCTGTAACAAATCATGTCCCCATAAATTCATTGTGATGTTAGACACACATGGCTTTAATTTCTCTCTGTGTCCTGGGCACCTATACATGGACCCATCTTGCATCCTGTTTAACCTGAATTAAGGTTCCAATTCCTAAAAGCTGAACATTTACCTCCCAAAGAGGGGGAATTTGGATGCCAAGAATCTAATGCAATCTTGTTCTATCCCCACCTGAATCTATAAGAATTTAAATGATAATGTCATTTGTTTGTTGTTTTGCTTTTCGAGACAGGGTTTCTCTGTTGCTTTGGAGGCTGGGTTGGAACTCACTCGGTAGACCAGTCTGGCTTCAAATTCTCATATATCCACCTGCCTCAGCATCCCAAGTCCTGGGATTAAAAAGTCAGGAAGGGACTGACCGAATGGGCATGTGGATCTTTGAGAGGCTCCCCTAGGTGTTTCTCAATGACAAACTATGACTTTTGTGAATTTGTGCACTAAACTTGGACACCAGATGTAGAACAAATCCTAATGGACATAATGACCAAAACCTGGAGACAGAAGTCAGGATAAATGCTGAAAGATGAGAGAAGTAAGAGAGTCAGCCACTGGAGAGACTTTAAGAAGCCTCTCTATGAAATCTTCAGACAGAAGAGGGGGTCCTGTCCCTACCAATCCTCCAACTGAAGAGGCAGAGATCTTTCACCGCCAGCCTTACATTCTGGTCTCCACCTCACCATTGCTGGAATTAAAGGTGTGTATCTCCCAAGTTCTGGGTGCAAAGGCATTAGATCCCAAGTGCTGGGATCAAAGGTGAGAGCCACCACCACGCATGTCTTTCTCTTTTAGATGTGTTCAATTTCAAGTAGCCCAGAGTTGCCTTGAATTCCGGATCTTGCTGTTCTTCTTCCAAGTGGTAGGATTAAAGATGTGTGCACCACAACTTGCCCTCTATGGGCAACTAGGCCTAACTTCACCCAGGACCTTCACGCAAGCTTTAGTTGTTCGAGCACAATCAAAAAATCACCACAGTGCTCTCATTCGACCATGTAGTTTCTGAGGCCTGAACTCAGGTTTCCAGGTTAGGGAGCACGTGCCTTTATCTGTTGAGCCATCTCCCCAGCTGCACAACTCCCTTTTGAAAGGGACACTCTACATGCACACAAATCCAAATAAGGGAATAATATGAACTCCAGGGTCATCAGATGAGCACACTTCTTAGGTCAGACGAATCTGGTTCCCTGAGTCTTCTGAATTTATAGCATTAGAGAAGATCTGAAATGAGGTCTCTCGAATTTTCTGATATTGGCTGCAATTTTCCCAGACCATCTCGGTCTGTCCCCAGGAGAAGGAGGGAAACCAGAACATGGGGACAGCAGACAGCAGGTACCCAAGTGACTGACTCTGTGGTGCTCATGGCCACTGAGCACCATGGACAGAGGGAACTACATTACCCAGAAGACTCAGCGCGGCGCCTCACAGACACAACTTCCGGTGTGCTCAGGCTGCCGTCCTGGTGCCATCTGAGTCTGAGTGTGGCGTCCCCACAGCCGGGGCCCCGCGGAGACGCCGCAGACTCGGGAGGGCAGCGCAGGGGACACGGGGCGGGGAGCTGTGGCCACTGTGGTTGTCTCTGGATGGTGATTTGGTCGCATGAGAGACCCGGATTGAGCAGGAGGGCTCATCCTTTGACCTGAGACTCCACATGCTGAGGAAACACTTCTCGGACTTCCTGGTTTGAATAATCCTGTCAGGTTTCAGATGTCAGTCACGCCTGGTGCTGAGGTGTTGGTGTGGAAAAAAACTGGCGTGATGCTCAGAGTTGAAGCCAGTCTGTACACTGGGGAGTCACTGGTTTGCACATGAGAGCTGTGATCCTGGTGGGGCATTTGGTCTCTCTAAGGGGTGGTCGCCCTTCCTTAGGAAGCATTACAATCTGTCACATCAGAGAACCAGTGAACACAGCACTCTTTGGTCATAGTCTACTTGCATGTTTATCTGACACACTGTGTCCTGTCTGTGTGACTCTGCTACCAGCAGTTAGACCCTGGGTTCCTCAGCATGCTCACAAACACTTGCTCTGCTCAGTCTGTCTTCTCAGTATTCGCCACTCTCATTGGTTGTGCTGTCATTTGTATCTCTATGAACTAATGCTGCTCCTGATTTCTGTTTGTACTGATTGACATTCCTTTCCTTTTCAGTTGCCTGGTGTTTTGTGTGTGAGCACATGAGAGAGCATCCATGCACAATCCCAGTGTGCACATGGAGGTCAAAGGACAATCTCGGGTGTCACTCCTCAGCTACCTTGTTTGAGACAGGTCTCTCTGGTCATCTGACACTGGACTGCAGACAGACTTCTGGATATTCACCTGTCTCTCTCATCTCTGGACAGGAGCACGGGGATTATGGACCTATGCTGGCCACACTGTCTTTGTTTGGGTTCTGGGATTCGAACTCAGGTCCCCATAATGCAAGGGGCCCTTTATCCCTTCAATCTTCTTCCCAGACACTCTCTTTTCTTTATGAGCGTCTACTCCTATCTTTTCCCTATTAAAGATTTTTGTTGATTATTAAGTTTCATTTTTGTTTTTGTGGCGGGGTCTTTCTATGTAGTTTCACTGTCCTGGAACAGGCTATGAAGAATGGTGACTGTCACTAGCAGACCAAGAGAATCTGATAAACAAGCACACCCAAGTCATCTTCAGAGTCTCTGCACTGTTATGGACGGATGTCTAAGGAGCCAGCTGCCCTGTGACATGTGAGGTGAGTATCTGTGCTCCTCATTTCTGTCCTGCCAACCCTGTGATGGCTGTAGATGCTCACATGCTATTTACCTTGAGACAGCTCTGCCTTACAGTGTCACAAAGCTGCACTCAGCCTGCCCTGGTGGTGATAAATGCCTTGAATTCCAGCACTTAGGAAGCAGCGACCGGTGAACCTCTGGGTGTACAAGGCCAGCCTGGTCTACATAGTAACAAAAAAGGCTGCAGTGGCTTTCCCATGATTACCTGGCCAGTCAGTTCCAGTCACCCTGCTCTGAGTGCCCACACAAGTCACTTCTGTCTCTGTCTTCCAGAGCCTCTGTAGATGTCACATGACACCTGCACAGCCACAGACATGGAGACCAGAGCAGAGCTGCAGGTGTTTATTAGAATAAGCTTAGCAGACAGAACAAGGAGGGGACAGGCGTCTGGATTCCAACTTCAGGAGGGAGAGAGGACGGGGCAGCAAGATGGCGCTCGCATCGGCCATCATTGTGCAAGGCTTTTAAATTGGGAAAGTATGCTGTTAATTTTTTCTAGTACGTCA